CTTTCTGTGAAGAAATTTTTCCTAATATCCAATCTAAACTTTGTATCTGAGGAAGATGAAAATGCCACTAATACAAAGAAAGAGGAAGCAGGAACATACCTTTCTGGGCCACTTCATTGAAGAAGTGTTTTGGAGCCAGCAGTCCTTCACTAGCAGGTAAACCCTTTGTTAAGATAATAATTTTTGTGGGAACCTCGTGTTAAAATACCAGCAGCAAATAATTCTCCATTCTAAGAAGCTTCACGAGGATACAAAGCTTTACAAAGGCATTGAGATGTTTCCCTCTTCACACACCAAAATAACATGCTTTTACTGCTGCTTCAAGTCCAATTAATTGTTTGGTTTCCTTTTACCTCATGACTTTCTCTTCAGGGACAGTATTCTTCCCATTTAGCAACGATATAGTTTTAATGACCGTATCGCAGATGGTGCGTACCCAGAATATAGATAATCACATTTTTGGAGACTGTGCCATTCTCAAATGGAAGGGCGAGCCTGAGTCATGATGAGTGAGGAAACTATTTTGCATAGGTTTCTGGAAAACCCTGAAAAAATCCTATTTTAAGAAGAGCTGTAGCAAAGATGCTTAAAAATGAAACAATGCAAAATGCTCTAGATGAAAATAACTTACTCAGGTCTAGTCAGATGTAAGTATTTTAGATTAGATTGCCGTTTTATTGCTGCCTCAGTGAGGGGAAATCCCCATGCCTGTAAAAGGCCCAAATGAAGTGCTAGTCTACTGTCCATGGGACACAGGTTATGTATTTTTGAATAAAATAATGCTGCTTTAAGTAATAACTGTTTGTAAATCCTAACGCAGCAAACATCCTGCTACTTTGACTGTATTACAAGAATAACAGAACAGACTAAATTCTTACTCTCCGGACCCCACTCCTACTCCCCTGTAAGCAATTAACACTGAATTAAAATCGGAAAGTGCCTGATGACCTAGCGAGCCACCTCAGGCCCTAGCCCTGCCCACAGCTCCCCACTGCCCACAGTGCTTGCCGCCATGACAGCCTGCCCTCACCTCAGCTTCCCACCACTGATGGGCCAGCCTTACAGCTCCTCTGATTGGCCAACCGCAGGCAGATGCACCCTCTGATTGGCTGTGCGCCTCGCTGGTGAGGGCGATAGGCTGGGCCCAGCTCCCGCCTCTGCCGAGTGCTGTCCATCTCCTCCCGCCCTGGCACCCCTCCTGCTCCCCCGCTTGCACCCCAGGTGGGGCACCCCACAGTGGCCTGGCGCCCGGGCGTGCTGCAGCCAGGCAGAACTAATCCTCAATAATAATCGCCTTCTAAATACAAGTAGCTCTGTTCCAGAAAATCTGGGCCTGAGGAACCGAAACATGCAACTCTGTAAGACGGCGAGAGCAGATAGGAATCTTAAAAAGCAGCTTGAACTCTGAAGAAAGCTGACCACGAGAACAGCACTGTACAGAAAAATGTTTATTGAGAGTGTTACTGCATTAGAATTGTTACCATTTCATCAGTAAAAGCTGTGGCAAAAGAAGCGTGTCATCATTGACTTCCTGTCACAAAATCTGGTCCGAATGTCAGCATTGGTTTCTCAGCTGGTTGCTCAGCTCCTGAAGTTCAGCAATCATGTTGTCCATAGTTGTCACCTCATCAGCTATCTCACTGTGAACCTCACTACTTGTTACATCGACAAAAAGTTGCTGCATGACAAAAAGAAATACATTATTTTAAGACATACATCCAGTTTCGCTGTTTCAGCGTAGAGACAATACAGAAAGCTCATCACCACTATCCTGCCTTTCGTATTTTTGGTACCTATGATGGTATCTCTCTCTTTAAAAAGTCCATTTTGTGGCTAACAAACAGAAGGTGAATATATAAATGCATGCACACATATATAGACATGTGGTCTTTGCCAAAGGGCCCAAATCCTCCTGTGGATGTTTGGTTTCTGCTCTGAATTGACTGCCTACGTTGACTCCTGATCCCATCGAAAGTGAAGGACTTCACCATGAAACTCAAAGTAGAGGAGCATCTCACATACTGTCACTGCAGTTTACAAACCCACCTGCTGATAAATCAGTAGTTGTGAATTTTAATGGACATTTTTCCCAGTGTCATATATATGTTGTGTCATTTTCTCCAAGACCCCAAATAAACATCTTTTAACATTTGGTGTCAAGACACGTGGGTGGAGACAATAATCTGTGTGTAATTAAGTTATTCAAGAGAAAACAAATAGTAATAGAGTAGTAAAAATAGTTTGTTCTTAAAGACCTTAAGACATCAACAAAACCACAAAGCAGCTAACTTATGAGCAATCATAATCTTCACGTATTTACAGGGAAACCAAGGGAGAGGAATACTAAATGACTTGTCTAAAAGCCTTAAGATATGCAAGCTTGACTGGAGCTTTGTGCATGCTGCACCAGAACATGTTGCTATTGCAAGGCCAGGACCTGTCATTTGACTCAAGTAATATGGAGGCTGTGTGAGGTACCATTCCACAGAAATATGGTGGTGGGGGGGGGACCCAAACGTGTTTCCCTTTATTATGTAAAGGGAGAGTGAATCACACTTCATTTGACACAAAGGAAAAGCCTACATTTGGATACAAAAACAAACCAAGAAAACAAAAGTTGCTCTGGAGTACATCTGTACATCATTATATCATGAAAACATAATGGGATAATACAGATACGTATATAAACAAAAATGTACTTAAAAGGCCTGAACCAAGGTCTTCAATGTGCCTCAGAATAGTGTTGTCACTGAAAAAAGGAACATCTTACACAAAAATAGGAACATGTTCCTGCTACAAGTACAGAAACTTTTCTGACTTTCAGCCCAAAAACCTCACACTGGGAATGTGACAGAAAAGTTTGGTTCTTTCTGGCTAAGACAGCTAAATAAATCAGGATGATATAATTATTTGTTCATCTTTTTTTTTCCCCACAGTTGAAGAGATCTATTCAACTAGATGCAGCCTGGGTAAGTTTCACGCACCATCATTCTTTGGGCTTTGCGCCCCACGTTTCCCCACAATAGTACGCCCATTTCATGCATTTACGATACAGCTCCATGACCTTTCTCCTTTTTGGAGACCCCACCTGTCAGATCGGAATGATGCATGGGGGCAAGGAGCAGAAAAGAGCCCACTGTGCTATTTGGCAGAGCAAGTGACTGCCTGGGTGGCTCTTCACAGAAAGGAGCCCATCGACAACACATTTTCGAGTTGCAGCCTTCAGCAGAGCGTGGGTGCATCATGAGTCTGGCACAACACAGGAGCTGGAATGTCAGAGATGGAGATCCCAGGAAAGGCCAGAAGTCTGAGAAGCAACATTGTTTCACCTGTACAAAACCTACTGATTTGTTCCAATTGTATGTCCTGGCTACAAAATTTTGGAATTTGATCTTTTAAAAGTTACTTTCACTGTTCCTTTATCCATTCTGAAATCTTAACTACCAAGTCTGCTCTTCGCCCAGTTTTTAAGTGCTTTTCTCTATTAAAAGAAAAAAGAAAAAAAAAAAAAACCCAGATGCTGCAGTCAAGCTTGGACAGGCATAAACAATGCTAAACTGTTTGTGCATAGGATCTTACAGAACATGACTGAGTTTTTAAACTTTGGAAATTCAATATGACTTCAAATTAAAAATAAGATGGCATCTTGGAAAGTATGCAAAAACAGCGAAGTCACACCAATAGCTTTATCTGTAACATGTCAGTTTTCTCAGAAGTGCCATAAAACTTTGAGGTACCATTATCTGCCAGTAATGGAGATGTTCATTTAATTAGTGCTTTCAGGAATTAAAAATACAATTTACTAGACTCACCTATTCTTAATCTTTCAGATACTGCATGATCTTGCATAATATAAACCACCTGTACTTGCATTTATATCATTTATGTCAAGTAGTCTTGCTTTTTCGACAGTCATACTCAGTCTACACACTTTTGCTTTTTTAAAACCATTTTGTGAATTACAACAAAACATACGTGCTGTGACTTTTTTCACCACCTTCCGAAGACTTGCATATGCCAGTATCTAAAAGCACAGCTATAGAGCCAGCCTGTGACTGCTTATACAACTTTCCCAGGTTTTTATCTTTAAAATTACAGGACTTACAAGAGAGTGAGCCAAGTTTAGCACACTGATGACGGATCAACACTTTGTAACGACAGCACACGTTATAAAACTTATGCTCTGTAATTCACATTTACTAAACCCCACACACAACCAGGAAGAATACTTCTTTAAGTCATTAAGTGTATTTTGAATGAAAAAGTATTCCAGATCAGTCCTCAGTTAAACTATGGCTGTGTCTCATGTTGAAAGGTGAAGGGTAAGATTAGGATAATAAGGGTGCAGAAACAGACTCAGCCCTTTGGGTGCCTGGCTATGGAGGCACAACTCCAAAAAACAAACATATGATTCAAACATGATGACATTTTCCAATGAATTAATATCTGAATTGGTAAGGCATCTATGAAAATGTTTGTCCTCTCATTTAATAAATAACACTGTTTTTAAAACACTTCAAGTGATGCAAAGTAGTCCTTACACATTTTGGTCCTTTCTGCAGGTTTACATCCATTCTTGCTGAGACTGCCCTGCTTCCCCCATGACTACTCACATAAGGAACAGGTCTTTGAAATGACTGATTTCTTCCAAACATTCAAGACTGTTTGCCCAACATTTTAAGTAAAATTCTAACTTAGTCTATGAGATAGCATTGACATTTTACAGGAGTGGGTTTATTTCAGTCAAAGCCTAGCAGGAAGAAGGGAAATAAAAGTCTACTTAAAACTGGAATCCTTAACAGTGTAGAGGTGAATATCCATCTGATGATGCACTGAGACAGGCAGATATTATTTGATCTATAAATGACTCAAAACAGATAAATGATTTCTGGCAACAGAACAAAGATTTCTAGCTTTCAAGCAAAAATTCCTACCTTGCAAACATTCCTACCTTTGCTTTGGATGACAAGCCACGTAAGTTGAGCCGAGCTGAAGAAAGTATCTGCAAAGCTTCCTGGTGATTAGATTTGTTCTTGCTGCATTTTATAGCCACTAGAATCCAAACCAGAAGAAAAGGACCCCAAAACAAAGAAGCATTACCTTTATAGAAATAATCTTTAAACAACAAAGTTTAATTAAAAATCTTGACACCTTCCACAGACAAGTTTTTAATGTAATATCCCCAAAAAGAAACACAAAGAATGCCAAGTAATTTTGGGTAGATAACTCTAAACGCAACAGGTATATGTATCCTTCTTAAACATAAATATCACAGCACAGTGAATAGTCTTAGTGAGTCTAAGTTTTGTCCATCTCCTGACCGGCACAGTCAATCAAACTTACGTGATGATTTGAGGACTGAGATGAACTACAGATGCATTTTCACTTGCATTATGAAATTGCTAGACCATGAAATTAATTGATCCCATGTTTACCAGTCATATGTTTACTGACTCACCCAACACAATTTCTGCCTCACTCCAAGTATATTTTTGTATGCAATATCAGGATGATGCTCTCTGTTAGAAAACTCCCAATAGTAGGAATAAATAAAATGGGTAAAGTGTAATATTATTTTGTTACTAAGCTTAATAAATATTTGCTACACTGAACAATAAAAATTCTTTTCAGGTAGAACATACCATGTGCAATCTCTATGGCTCCTTTCACCACTTCCTTAAAAGAAGAAACATCTTTCTCCCAATCACTTGATTGAATTTCACATTTATGTGCCTTAGTGAGACACTGCAGTGACTGAAAGGAGGAAAAAAAATATCACTATGTTAAAAAACAAACTAGGAGGCTAATTTAGTTTGAAGTATCTATGAAATTAATGCTCAATCCAGAAAATGAATGTATCTTTACTATGCTGTGAGTTTCCTGTGAATTGGAGTAGTGTCCTTCTCTGCAAGGGTAAGCACCAGCTGTAACACAGATGTTCTCCACCAATATTGCATCTCAAGTATGAGAGGCATATAAAGTAACATGTGTCTAATTTTTATCTTCTAGAAATCTGTCTAGACTGATGGATGTGACCCATGTTTGCCAAGTCATCATAATTAAATGCACATGAAAAAGGGAAAAATACTTGTACTCACACTTTGAACAGCAATTTTGTACCTAAAAAATTTATAACTGAATACATCAAAGCTTTCTTTCTGTATATGTATTCTTGGCGAAGAACATATTTTACAGACGCAGCTATTAGCTGACATACTGCTCTGGTTCTCAGTGTGAACAGGAAAAATAAATGTAAACAGTATGGAAGAAGGGTCCCATTAAGAAAAAAAACCATGAAAAAGTAAGCAGAAGAAATTAGTATTTGCTTTCGAGTTTTGTTTTCTTTCTACAGCATCAGAAACACGAAACAAATACGTGCCAGAAGTTACATGGCTTGGTTCAATGACAGCTCTTCAACTATCTTTTTGAAGAGTTTAAATATCATATAAAGGAATAAAAAACTTTCGTTGCGGTACACGTACACGAGCGCAATAAAGACTTGTGATTGCTGAACAAATACAGATTAAATTTAGGGGTCGTTTCCCCAGAAGCTTCTACCTCTCTCTCCCACCGGAGTTCCAATCACTATGGCATGTGCAATTGAACTGCTCATGCTGCTGTAAATTGCAGTAAAGGTGTATTAAGTCAAACCAGAGCAAATTAATTTTTTTCATAATAACCTAGGTTATAATTGGTAGCAATTCTGGCCAGCAGAGGCAAGAACTTTCAACAGAAGGAACAACAGTTTTTACAGCAGTCTGATTTCAGTCTGCATGTGCCTGAGTCAGAGCAGCAAATTAGAGGGGTTTTGCTGACAGATGTCAGGGAGGGGAAGGAATTCAAAGTCTTGTGGGCTGTTTGTTTGCAATTCTGGAACCTGGATTTATCCTGGAAGGAAACACTTATGAGCTGGGGAAAGTTCAAGGAACAGAAGGGTTTCATAGTCTGGGTATGGATCAGCAGGAAACGTGAAGGTTGGAAAGATTCCTTGGTGGGAAAGGGGTGGACTGGACTGCATTCAGCATAGGAAAGAATGAAGTAGTGAATGAGGTGGCAGGTTGAATACATAAAAGTGTAAGAGTAAATATATGCTAAGCTAAAGAAAAAAAACCCCACAAACCCAACACATCAACAGTTTTACACTCCTAACTTGTAAACCCTGTCTGACTTTGATTCAATTTACAAAGCACTGTTGTGAATTGTAACTGTAGACTCTAGCGATTCATGGCATCAGATACGTCAGCAGAGCAGAAAGGTAAAAAACTCAGCAACCAACCCACCCTTTACAATAGCCAGACATACAAGGTTGTTCTTTCAAATGCAATGTTAGGAACAAAATTGGTTAAATATAATTAAATCTGCACTAAATAAGGTATTACATTATAGAATAAAGGTCAAACCCTACATTTGTAAGGAGGTACAGGACACTGATAGATCTGTTCCCATCTTTGTCCTATGATGCCACAATATAGTAAATAATGCCCTTTCAGAATTCATTGAACTTTTGCATAATAAATGTGGGTGGAAAACTGCAACGATACATCTGGAATTTTTCTACAGATAGTTATATTCAACTTAATATCTGACTGACACATGATGGTGCTTCTGCCAGTGAAGACAATAAATACTGTTTTTAACATTTTTACTTCATAATATGGTATCAGAAAAGCTAGCAGTGATTATCTAGTGTACTGTAAATTAATTTTTACACTGTAAATCAATATATGCTGTGGCTGTAGGCACTTTTGCTCTTTCATGATCTGTATCTATGGTACCATCATATCAGGATACTTGGATACACACATAAGCATACCTTAAGTATTTACAAACATAATTTCATTTTGCAGGGCAAGCTAGACTGGAAGCGTGTTCCATAAACAGTCTGATTAGGAAACACAGTTAAAGTCCTGTCTACGCTACAAATTGAAACCATGTTTTTAACTGGGTTAGTGAAAAAACACTCTGATGTAACCAGATTCTGAAATGATTACATTTATAGTATAGACAGGGCCTCTGCTACTTTGCATGTCTGAGTAAGAATTTGAGGATATATTACAGGATATTGCAGTGTCTGTATTTCTGAATTCTAAATAGGCCAGATCCCTTTTATTGTGCAGCTGTAAAGAAAAATAGGGAAGAAAAAAAGGGAGGAACTGGAGGTATAATGGACACTGTCAATGACTAAACACGGCATTTCACTGGGCAAAGCGTAAAGAGGAAGACAATGAGCAAGGCCCAAATAATTACAAGTTTAACCCCAGAGGCATACAATTGTAGGCCCAACCATCTGCATAATATGCTTGACATCAAGTGACAAGCAATCCTCCAGACTGACATTGTTCCCCAGACCAAAGGCATACCCCCATTAGGAAACACATACTGAATGCTGACCTTGTGTATTTTCAGCTTCAGTGAAGATCTGATAACCCATAAGTATTTCTGGAGTGTGCAAAGCTATTTGAATTTTGGAAAGTTAATACCAAATGCAAAGCACACTTCAGCACACAACAAAGTAAACACTTCTATCAGTGCAGAGTGGTTATTTTGGAAATGCAATCAACTCGATTACCCAGGAAGTGATAGGAACAAGAGATGGAAGTTAACGTAGCAAAACCAGAGACCGGTAAAGAGAAACCAATGGTTCAACAGATTAAGAATTAAACAGCGTTAATAAATTCCATTTTAAGCTAAGTAAGGACAAAGCACTTTTACTCTGGGAACTCTAACTGTGGTATAGACTATCTTAAATGCATTTTCCCGTAGTGATTGCAAACAAGAATATAGATGTCTTATGATGTCACTGGATCAAGCCATTAAGATCTACTTTTTTTCCAGAAGCTGCAATATCTTGTCTTCAGAATCAAAGATTCCAATTTAAAAAAAAAAAACAAAACACCACCATAGATTATAGCCATTAGATTGCTGCCAAGAAAAGTTTCAGAATACAAATCCAAGACAATGCACATATGCTGTGATAGGATGTTTTAAAATGAAACAGTGATAAGAAAGAGGTATTTTTTAAAAATCCACAAAAACTGATGTAAAACGTCTTGCTCCTGTTAGATAATAAAAATGTGTGCTGTAGGAACATGAAAAGCACAAAATAATCTTATAGAAACACTAAAGCAAAACATGTCTGGAAGAAGAGCATGTCTTACTATAGCACCATAGTTTGTTAGAGAACAGAACATTTGCAGCAGAAGTGTGTATCCGTAAAAATGTATACCTCACAACACATTTACCTTTTCAATATCTTCACCACTATCATTCTGTCCATTTCCATAAAGCTGTGCATAAAGTCTCCAGATCTTGGCATCATTTGTCACTCGTGAAGTCACTCTGCCCAAGAGCTCTTGCAATTTCCCCTTCAATCCACTCGCTACCTCTCCAGTGCGATCTGCCATACCATCCACTACCACTCTGACCAGAATAGCCAGCACCTCAAAAAAGCAGCAGGAAAAAGGTTTTATTTCAACTCAAATCAACATCAGTATATATAATGATATCTGTAATTTTTGGTCTCTGTTAATGATTCAGTAAAATACAAATACAGTACCGTACAACAAGGATAGAATTTACTAAGAAATATATTATTAGGGGAGTAATTCAACTAATTTAAACCTCATCTGTAAGATTCTATGGTTGGTGAAGATAAAGAAGCCAAAGAGCCAGACAGAAATTTGGGTTACTGGGACACGCTAGTGTGGAAGATAATGGTATAGGAAATTGTGACAATACCCTAAAGATATTTTCACCTTATAATACCGCTATAAAAAGATCAGTAAACAGGCTGAACCAGATTAATTCAGGTAACTGAAGACACTGTTGTTTACAGGACCTCTATTTAACTACCTGCAGAAACTGAAAGATGTATAGTGGATGAGATGAAAACTAGAGCGCAACTGAATGCTACCTTGGGAAACTCTGTGTTTAATACACTCCTGGTGAATTACTAGTCAAGTCAGTTCAATCAATTTTTTTATAAGTACTCATTTAATGGCTGTACTTTCTGAGTCACTGGTTTGAGAATATGGGATCTGACCTGCAGAAATGCTGAGCCTGTGCAGCTCAATATCAAGTGTCCCAGAAAAAACCATGAGCCTTCATGTCCCAAACTGGATGCTGAAAATTAGAAAACAGTTTTGCGGTGCCTCAGTTCCTTCTCAAAAAAATGAGAAACAGCAAATGGAAATTAGGACATTGGATCATATGGTAAATTAGAAGAAAATAGAACCCAGAAAGCTGTGTCTTGTTAAGTGAGAAATACCTGTTCTGTGTAGTGCATGAGACACAGAGTCTGGGGAAGAAATAATGATGAAAACCAAATGGAAGTCTCGTAAGGCCTGCGTTCAAGATAGGTCGTAAAGGGTATGCAAACACCTTCATGCTGGTACTTCCTAACTTGAGAGGCTATCATTTGGCAACTTTAATGCTTCAACGTTTTTGTCCATGTGATATTAATACTTACAATGAAATCACATTAATAGCAATATTAACATAAAAACAGTGATAAAAACAGTTTCAAAGATGATCTGTGAATAGCCCCAAACCACACAAATATACCACTACTCTAGTAAAAGTAGGACAGAGGAGCATCCTCACAAACCAAGATGTAGTTCACGGGCAGAAAGTAATGCAAAAGTTATGACAGTATCAAAGTATATTACACTTAAAATAAAAACATATGCAGTTTAGTATTTGTGATATGTCATTTTCCTAGAACAACTTTTCTTCTATGCAATGACTCAATTAACATGCATCCCAAGAATTCATTACTGACTTTATCAGATATATGAAATCTTTGGCAAAAAAAAACAAATAAATCAAAATGGCCAATGATGTTATGAAATAAATCTATGTAACAGAAAAAGTGAAAAAAAATTATACATCTCCCTGGTATCTTTTCAGAATCAATATGAAATCAGAATAGCATCTGAACATAAGCTAAACACCTCCTCCCTCCTCCCCCCAACCCATAACAGTGTAGCCCTTATATAAAATGATACAACAAACTGGCTGCTTTTTCTTTTCTGTTAAACAGCTTGGATTTTCACTTAAGATAATAGAAAATATGATCAACTATTAATAGTCAAAAAGTTCTGAAATTCATACTGCATTCATGTTTTGGAATCTAAGGGACTAAAACACAGCATTAAATCAATCAGGTTTTCTATAATGATTTGCTAGAAAAACACCAGCAAGTATTAATATTTCCATTACTACAGTGTTGTAATAAAAAACATAAAAGAGGTGTAAGAAGAAACATTAAACTATGTTATCTTTTGAAAAGGAACTGGAACTGGTCCTGAGGGTTCACACATAGATGTATGACTTCTCAATCAATTTCTCAGTTTAACAAAATTGTTACTCAAAGTGCAAAAAATTAGGTCACATGAATATCATGTATAGTAATCAAGAGTTTTAAAGCCAATGATATTTTGTTTGCACATGCAAAAAAACCCAGTTTCCTCAGTCAGTAGGATTTAGCAACTGAAAAATTACCCATATTCCCACAGAGTTCAGGCTTTGCTTACACTTTCATCATAATAATCTATGTCCTTTTTTTGTAATTCATCATGTAAGCTTTAGCACTACAGCAGTTAAAACAAAACTAGTGTGAAAGCCTGGATTAAAGGGTCCGTTAAATAGTAATGAATCATTAACCCTACTTGGCTGTGCCCAGTTGTTAAATAAAGCTATTTCAAATTGCAAGTGAATTGTGCTAATCATCAAAACGTATTAGCAGTGTAACAGAGCTTTACATTTTAGATGGTTGTCTTAAGTGTTAGGTTTTAATTTATATCTTTGAAAGATTTTAAACTGCCATACATACTAAACTACTAAAGCAATGCTCTGTTACCCAGGATCCCACACAAGTAATAGAGCTTTTTTTTTAATTTTTTTTTTTTAAATGCCTCTCTTAATGAACTGGGCTCCATATGACCACTGTGCAGAGAGTTTGCGTTTAGTATGACATCACACCATCTGCATTCTTCCTCCTCCTTTGCTTTTGTGAATAATGGATGTTTATTAAAAACTGAACAAAACCCACCATTGGACAAAACCTTAAAATGAAACCCAATCATTTTTAAATGCTGTGATTGCTATCAGTTAATCTCATTCCACAACTGTTCTCCAAACAGCTCCTTTCATATAAAAATTCACTTGGTCAAAACATTTTTAGAAGCTTCACTAATACTAACCAAACTTGACAGCGCTCAAGTAAGGAGAGAACCCTCAGATACCAGATCCAAAAGGACAAATCTGCAGTCTGTGAGCTCTCCCTACACCCCTCCCAAATTAAAGCTTTATAATAAAAGACAATTGTCATTAGTGAGCTACTTAAAAGAAACAGAGCTCCAGGAATTTTTAATTCCTACTCTCGCTCCTCAAAATCCCCTTGGAAGATGCTCTTGCAGCCTTTTATTAGAAACAGTCTGGCAATACGACTCTGAAATGAGGATGATATTTGATGGAAAGGGTAACAGAAGAACTTTGCTAGTTTCTCAAGAACACAGAATTGCAGAGAGAAACCATTTGTCCATACCTCTGAATTCATATTCTTTGACAGCACAGGATGAAGATCTGGTTTCTGAAAGCAATGTAGCAAAATAGCTTTTCCACCCACAAAATAACTTTGTTATTCACAGAACTGCAGCTTTCCAAGTAAAAAAAGATTGCTTGCCTCCAGAAACACGCATGTGGTGCAAAGTAGCGTGATTAGCAGTTGCAGAAATCCTTCATATGTATTTACCACCTCAGACTAGTAATTCAGAAGCTAAACTGATGATTACAACACATAAGGCTTTCTCCTCAGGTCCTTTTTAGTGACTGATCTACTAGCTGAAACTACAGATAATTCAGTGAGCCTTTATCTTTTATTACATAACATCTATATTAAAGGCTTTCAGGGTATATTTCTCAGTACATTCATGAACATTTAAAGGGATATGGAAATTTGAAAAATTTTAAGAACCAGTAAGAAAGCATGCTTATAACATTTAAGGGGAATACTAGGAAACTGAGACTTTTGAAAGTATGTCCTTTGCTGTAATCTTTTATTGCATTGTTGCTCATTTATAAAGAGCCCTTCAGCTTTTCCTTGTTCAAGTCTGTCTACAGAATCTGTACATATGTATCTTCAAGCCTCATGATATCCTGATCTCAGAACCTTTGCCACAGGGATGACATCGTTAAATAACTAGAATAGCTTAGAAGCAAAAGTTCCCAAAGCTGCATTCTGTACTCAGAAGTCTGGCACAAGAAGGCAGCAATGGCTTAACAGAAATCACAGATGAAGATATGAATGCCTTACTGTTATTAGAAGAAATTAGTGATTTATGAATATGACTTCATACTATGCTGAAATAAAATAAAAAAAAAAAATCTGATGTAACTACACAAACCAAGGACATTTCAAATTATATATTCAATTGCACACTCTTAATTGATGCATTCAGTCTCACATGGGGTATTCTGCAATAATGATTATGCTAAAAGTGATTAGTGATTGGCTTTCTGTTTTCATAAAGAACTGGAGTCAATGACTCAACTTGTTTCTTCCAGTCCCGTGCATATTTATTTTTCTGGATTTTTAAATTCCTACCTTTCTCACACTATATCATCTAGCTTAGCAGTTTATCAATTAAAATCTAGGATGACTACAAATACTAAATATAACCTGAGAGAAGATCATACTATGTTGCATGGAAACAGAGGTGTACGCTTCCACTTAGTCATGTTCACGATTTTACTTTGTTAAAATACAATTGCACAAGAGGGTTATACAGCATCTCTATTTAAAACAGGCCAGTTGGCAAATGGGAGAGGCTCAGAAATTAATGGTGAGCTTTGTAAAGAACTGCAGCAGAAGCTTTTAGTTTTATGTGCTTTTTTTTTTTGTTTTGTTTTGCTATGGGAATACCCTTCTCTTCCTTGTAAGATTGTTGATTAAAGCCTTTCTGGAATTCTTTAATCAAGCTCTGAGGTTTTTCTCAGCCAACTAGTAAAATCCTTCCAATTGATGAAACTGTATTAGAAGTTATGATGAAACCCATAAAGCACTTTACCTATCAGAAGCCAAAATTAAAATTAGGATGCAAAAAACCCCATAGGATACATAGCATATATATACTTCTGTAAAAACGATAAACGTTGTATGAGAACAAGAGGAAAAAAGAGCTATACAACAAAACCAGAAATTTAGTACAAGCAATATCCCCAAATATTTCAGTAAAATATCCTACATAAAATTTGACAAAACACACTATCATCTTGAAAGATCTAAAATGGACAAATACAGGTAGAAAGTTCTATTCCTGGTCAATCTGACTAAAATAATACAGTAGATCACTCCTAAAAACGGTATTTAAATTAACAATTGAGAAAAGGATGCATTAAAAAAAGCCAACCATCTACAAGATATTCCATGAATAAACACACAGGCCCCACCAGTACCACAATACTGTAGCTGCCAAACACACTAATGTTTACCATATATAAGACTATTTTCCATAGATACTTGTTAGTGCAAAGAGAGTTTGAGACCTTTTAATGTTCAGCCATATCAAACCCAAAAGATTTTATTCATACAGAATGTTATCATGTGCATGGTTGGCTTTATGGTAGTAAGTATTGTACTCGCATACAATTTGTTATTCAAAAGTAACCTGAAAACACTTTTTAACACCCCTGCCCCCATGAACAAATGAGATGCTTCTAAAACCATAACTAATTCTGTCTTTTTCTCTCTCCTCATCACTGGACTCAAACTCCCAAGATCCAGGAAAGCTACTTTTAATCATTTTATGGGATAAGAAAAGAAACACACTCCTGGGATCAATGAACAGCAGCAGCTGGGTCCTCTTACCCTGGTACGACACACAAACTCCTTAAGGGCTCATAAGCTGGTTCAACCAGATGCATTAACTTTGCAAAGGCTTTTGGAGGTGTTTCACTACTCTGCTTAAGGGATTCTTTGGTTTGCCTTTCAGATTCATCTTGCTACTTTCGCTGAGTATACAGAACCCTGCTTGGATCAGGACCTGGTTTTAGGCAAGGTAACATCACAGCTGAAGCTGTTAAAGTAGGCTTTCTGGGTTTTAACAGAAATTAACTGAACTACAGTGAAAGATGAGCAAAATACCTCCTTTATTCTTCTGTGTTCCTATTATTAAGAATCAATGTTCTGACTGTAATGCATCCAATCTATGAAACACAATTCACTTTCAAAGGCTCATTTGTGGAATTTTCAAACACATGGGAAAACCTTACCTTTCTTTAAACTAAATCATTTATAATATTTCTGATACTAAGATATGCAGGAACAATATGGAAAGATGGGGTTATGCACTGTGGTTTATTTAAGAATAGATCTTAAAACTGCAAGGCTCAGACCTGTCCTTCCACAAAGTCTAAGGCAATCTGGATGCAAAAGTTTTACTTTTCATCCTTTTATTTTAAATACTCAGTCTTACAGTCCAGATCTCAAAAAATTAAATGGCTTGCCTACATTACTTCACTTTTATGTGTACTATCATTACTGATACCATTATCAGCAGAAATCTCTCTCTGTCCCACATGAAAAATTAATGAACATATAGGATGACTTAACACGAAAACTTCCCCACCTGTGTATCCTTGTACTTTTCTCTTAAGTCCATGAGCCGGTGATAAGCTTTAATTGCTTCTGAAAACTCTCCAAGATCTGTACTGGTGAGAAGATAGTTCTCCCATATTTGCCAGTGCTCATAGTTGCACTTGAGAGCTTCTTGGAGGGTTCGAAATGCTTTGATTCTAATCAATGATAAAAAAGAACAGAAAAGAAGATTTGAAGATTGAAGATTTTATATAGAAGATTTCTATATTAAAATCAGTTGGTATTGTATTAACTAAAATGCTGCTTATTTAAAAAATCAGGTTTAGAAAACAGTGCAATGTAGAAGTTATTGTGCATAATTTACAATACTGATAATTCCTTAATCTCGCTTGCCAACTACTTTCTATCAGTTCACTCCACAGTACACTGTAGAGTCTGAACTAGGTAATTTCTATGTTTCTCATAATTATGTTTTGACAAAAATTCATTATAATTGTGCCATCTATGTCAATATTTCCTTTTCTGAATTTTTAACTGGGACCATTAGAAAACAATCTGACTTATGCTGCAGTTGTAACACACATTAAAAAAAATGAAAAATTACCGAGTTCACAGCCAATGCAGAATGATATTGACTCATTTCATCACACAAATGAAGGTTACTGAACAATAACAGCTTTTTGTGATTTATTTTAAACATTTGCACATGGTAAACATGCATACCCATTGCACAGAAGCCCAGCATTTTCAACCATTTTTTTCTCATGTCAGCTGGAAGCTTTACTTACACTCTCTGTTCCCTGATGCTATACTGCTCAGTACAAATGTGTCAGAGTGGCCCCAAACACTATTAGGGTCCTTCACCAAAGGTGCTGCCCAGTGAACCATCTCACAGTGGCAGGAGAAAGTGTTGTGGAATAAAGGTGGACAGAATAGTTCCTATAAAGTCACTGTCAAGTCAGGAGACATCTTTGTTTTTCACATGGATCCCACTGCAGGCAACTCTTTACCATTCCCTTACTCAAGGAGAGATGTAATGGCATTCTCTGGTAAGGAACAGAGAAGACAGTTTGGCCAAACCAAGAACATGGGCTGAAAGCAGCTGACCTACAGTTTACAGAGGTATGACCTTCTGCACAACATGCAACCAATGCTGCCAGAGAGGAGGCAGAAGGAGTAAGAAGTCTTAATGCAATCTGAAGCGTATGTTGGTAAGGTCTGGGTGCCTACTGTTTAAAGCTTTAAACGTACTGCCCGAAGTTTCAATAAATTTGAAACTTTACAAAAAGCTTCGCTACAGAATCAGAACGATATGGTTCTTAGGGCTTTGAGAGATTGAAGCTTACTCTCAGCTGGACAGTCACGATATGTACAAAGACACAAAGAAATAAATTGCTTTAAATGAAAACCTGAAACAGAGTTTTCCCAGGCTGGTAAAAATCTTCTTTGGGGAGGTATGACGATAAATTTCTTCTTAATAAAGTTCATATAAAGATGGCTTGTTATCAAAATTTGCAGTTCACTTGCTCTATTGCGTAAGTTGCTAAAAGTGCTGTCTCTAAAGAAAGACAGCTCAAAGAAATTGTTGGTTGAGTTTCAAAAAGAACTCCAGGACAGTGTAAATATCCCAGCCAGGAAAAGGGAATATCTAACTAGTGGATCAGACCATTAAAAGTTTGGAACGGCTGGGTCAGGGAAAAATGTAAATAACTGCCAATCTAAGCCCATAGAATTAAAAGACTTACCAAATACATATGAAGAGAGATGACTGATAGAACAAAATTAATGAAGGAAAACAGGTCATTTGGCATAGCTACAGCTGAATAGTCCACAGGCAGGATTTTCCCATGTTCACTCCCCTTTTCTCTCTCTTGTGATATATGTGATGCTGCTGAGTAAATGTACTAACAGCTGGGTCTCCTCCACTTTTAACAGGGATTTCAGACCCCGATTTTGATAGATTATATTAGAAAAGAACACAGACCTGCTCCTTCCTCTATGAATTTTGCTACAATGGAAGCTGGGGTCTGCCACAGCTCTCTGACAGGCTGGAAGATGCTCTGGCTGACTGATGTACCCCAATCACCTTGAGAAACTGTTTCGGAAACTGCTCTTCAACATCTGCAGGATTAGCCTGTATGATCTCCCCAATCTTCTCAAAAAAGTTAGTAACTTATCAGGAGGGCAGATGCCAATCAGATGGAACTGTGAAATGTAAATAAGATACCACAGGGATGGGATGGAATGGAAATTGTATTCCTCTCAAATCATCACTCTTGCTACGCTAATAAAGTCCTCTAGGCTGTCAAAACAAATCCCCTATGTATTTAATAAGTCATATAATGATGAAGTATCCTTAACCAGGGCAACAGTTAAACCAATTCATATCCAAACAGGAAACAGTAGGCAGTACCAGTGCATCATCCTGTCTCGGAAACCAGGAATCTTCCACCCAAAGGACAGAGGGCCAGTCCCAGTTTGTTCTGAGAAATATGAGATCTGGATTTCAAAGGCCTCCTGGCACCCAGAGAAGTTTTTTCTGGTAAACCAAAGAGTCTGTTTTCATCACAATAAATTTTTCTGGAGGAAATTCAGAATATGCAAACCTTGTGGACTCTTAAAACACAAACAAACCCAAAAACCAACAAAACCCCTTTCATTTGGGTGTCAGCAAGTTGTTTGCATACACTTTTCAAAAAGATTTACACGTTATATTTTGCTGTTTTATGAGACTCTGCTAAACCTTACCCAAATGCACAATCCTTGGGTGGGACTGATTAAGAGCCTGGTTGGGGTAAAGCTTGATTTGGATGAAGAAGCAAAATCTTCTTTTTGTTTTTTTTTTCCCCCCCCCCCCCCCCTTTTTTTTTTTGCTAGCAGGCTTAAAAAATAAGAATTTATACTTTCACCACTACTTGGCCCCACAAACTATATTATACTGAAGTGTACTACTACAGATATCCTCTGTTTTGAGAGTTGGTTAAACTAACTTACACACAGTCTTATCTATAAGTGACTACACAAATAATCAAAGAAGTTGCTGTTCCACAGCAAATACAGGCCACACTCAGCTATCAGCATGTAATACTGACTTAAGATTTGCTGTACACATATCCCTCTCCCACGTGATTCCTGGGGGGAAAAAAGCTCAGAAAGATGTCCCCCTTTACTGCTTTTGATACAATATCAAATAGGTCACAAGTGTTGTATGTATTTAGCATGTTACATTACAAGAATATATTAACAATAATAACATTAAACCAATGAAGTAAAACTAATCACTCAGTAGTTTCTCAGCCTTGTAGTAGATGAACAGACAGAAAAGTTATTTTGATTAAAGATGCTTTTATGAAACAAGCATAAGCCAGTACACTGAGCATCTGACATACCCTTTTGAACTTTATGCAAAAGAAGGAGCAAGGTATCACACAGTCTATGACAATAAATTGGGCATTCTCAAGGTACTGCTGAAGATGAAAGGAACTACTGAAAAGTTAAAAGAAGCTCTTGATTCCTATTACTTTTTAGTCTTGAGTAGTTATTCTAACCTTCATTTTCTCTTCCCTCCTGCTCCCATTAGCATATCAAACCATCTCTTGAATTAATTTATGATATAACTTCCCACATTTCCTTTCTATGTTTATCAATTTACCTTTTTATGTAAATTTACTATTTTTTTTTCTGTTTTTTATTTTGTGTCCTGACTGCATAACAGTACAAATTGATGTCAGATTTTGAGTAAGGTTTTTAAAAATTTATCTTATTTTTTGTTTCATTCTTTTGGGACCAGTTATAATGTGAAAATTCTTCTTAAATATTAAGTTCTTTCAGGTATTCTGTGTCTACAAGTAACATTTATTACACTGAGTTGAAATACAGAACAAGAAAGGCAGTCCATTTAGGTCAAAACTTGTACTAATAGTTAATTTGGAGGGAAAAGAACAAGTGAGCTCTTATGTGTGTAGATCTCCATCTGCTTTTGTAAAATAAAAAATAAACGGCCTGCTTTTACCTTAAATCTACTGAGATTAATGTAGTATGAATTGACATAGGTCTAAACATACAGTTTGCTTGAAATGGACATATCTTTTTAACTTCATAGTCAAATTACTTTCCAACTTTCATATGAATGTTTTGCACTGGTTCTTTTCTTTGTACTTTGTACTTACTACATCATAAACACTTTTAATAAGAAAAAAGTGTAGGGTGAGAGGCTGCTACTTCTTTTAAAGTTTAGGAAACTATTTCCTGCAAAATAAAATAAGTTATCAGTGATCCAACCTGGGAGAGAGAACTGAAGGGATAAGAACTACAAAATATGAGGTAACCACAGCATAATCATAAAAAACTCAGTGTCAAAAAAAGGGAGTCCCAATTATTTATTTTGGAAGCAGTATCTTCTAATCCTTTTGAAGTACTTACTTCTGTTTTAATCTGATATAAGCAGTTGATAAATTGTTCCAGGCCTCAGCATTCTGTAATGATAAAAGGAGAAGTATCAAAAAATTTATTCACTCACATTATGCTTACTTCATAAAAATATGCAAATAAAACTACTGTGAAATATCATTGATTTTACTAATCACACATATTAACACATATTTTCTACAAGGCAGTCAAAATATTACATTGAAATAGAAAGTATTATATTAAAATAGAAATACATAAATATTACTGACTACAGCAACAATCAGGTATATAAATATCAATTAACAGCCTTCTGGTTGGAACACAGTAAGTCAGCTCTTGCCTTCAGTTTAAACTGTAAACAGGCATCCTCTTCTGGATCTAGCTGGGATGGCTGGAGAGGTCAGTGCTCCCAGCAGCATCTCACTAGCACCTCACTTCTCACTAGCTGGAAGCTACTTACCTGCACCACTATGTTAGTGGAAAAAATTATCTGTCCCCTAATGCACCTCAGGCAAAACTAACAGTGTTAGTTCCAACAGTGTTTATCAACTGTTTTAGCTGAAAAGGATTACGAAGTGCTGAGACAATCTTTCCTCTAAAACCTGCAGAGCCATGTACAGAGATGATTCTTGCCCATTGCCTTACGCTGCTGTAAATTTGAAGTCACAGCACTGAATTCAGCAAAGTGACAACTAGTATAAATTTGAAGAACAGAACCTGCGTACTGCAATGAAATGTACTCTAGCACTGAAGGCTATCCTCAGGCTCAAGGAGCATTTAAATCATGTTGGGAAACCTTTTTGAGGCTTAATTCATGAAAATGGTCATTACATTGCTGCAGATCGTTGTATAAAGATAGGTTTCACCTCCATAACTAAGAGCCAGCCCAGCATCCTTTACTCACAAAAGAAATACCACTTAACCCACTCAGAAGTCAGTTGGCTTGTTCATATGAATACAATCAAGTACAGGCCCCAGACAGGTAAGTGAAAATTTTAGTATCTACTTGGAAGCAAATCTACTGTACTGGAACAACAACAAAAAAAATCAATATATAAAGTAAAAATTCCAGTTAAATACAGGGTTGTCTGTATGTACATTTTTTTTCCAAGTTATTTAATTTTACTAATAAAGAAAAAAGAATGCTCTGTCACCTTTCATTGCACTCTCATTCTTTTCCCCAAGAGCAAAGAATGCATAATAGTTTCTATCAAGTTGGTGGCATTAACTCTAAACGAGCAACGTGCTGGAGGTCAGGTCTTTTGACAAAAATATTGCCAGTACATTCCCAAGAGGTAATCCAGCTGACGCCTCTGCTATCTCAATGCATAGTCACACTCAAACAGCAATATTGTACGCATGGCTTGCCCCGTGCATCCTGAAAGACTGGCTGATAAGCTCCTTTCTCCCTGTGCTCATGAACTATATAGTTACAAATTTACCTGTCATACAACCACTTAGTTGACCTTTTTTTTCAGGAGAATTTGATTACTTAGGGAACTAAGTATTTTAATTTTTTTGTTTTATCTCCCTCTTTAGCACTCCTCCCAGTCTACTCATTCCTTTTTCTCTGTTTCAGCAATGTATGAAAGCATAAAGGGATTTCTGCTCAAACGTATTTTAACATTCACACACACATACTTGGACGAAGTTAAGTATTGGGCAAGTATTTTTATGATGCCTCAGGACAAAAATATATCCTTCATGCACAAGTTCAATTTATTCAAAGGGCTAAGGTTTAAACAAGTTTTTCATTATTGCTTTGCTTGTTTATAATGAAAACATCCTTGTTGCTTTTAGATAAGCCATCTGAATCGGTTGTTGAAAAGTACATACATCTGGTTCCAATGTCACACAGCGCTGAAATGCTTTGGCAGCACCTTCGTAGCCTTCTAAAGCAATGTATGCGCAGCCCAAGGAAAACCATACACCTAGCTGGAGAGAAAAAATGAATGATTACATAGATATATATACACACACACACATTTCTGCACAAAAGAAATAATTCTACCTGGGTGCTCAAACACACACTACTCCTGTTGATTTTACCTGACTTTCAGCTATCATAATAATATTGCATTGGAATAAATAATATCCTGCATGCAGAATATAGGAAAACTTTAGGTTCAACGTTTTAATAAATATGGATAAACCAAGGTGTTGACTATATAAAGACCACTTAACCATATGTGAAGTGCTCTTTAACAGTGCATTTTCATTTAGAGAAGAAAGTGATAGCTATTTAGAGGTTTGCATATTTTGCGTTAGCTTGTGAAAAATCCACATTCACTTTATAGTATTACAGTTAGGTCAAATGGTAAATACTAGGAAATGTATTTCAAGGAAATCACATTTTACAGGAAACATTTCTAATGACTGAACATGAACACTTTAAAATTACAGTTTTTGTACTCGTCAGAATATCAGTCTTCTCTACTTTATAATATAATGTTTAGAGACAGAAATGTACTTAAATAATGCCTTGCGTAGAGAACAGAACTTTAACAGTTCAATAATCTTGCATTGTAAGTCTTTAGTTGTTACAACCAAATACCTCTCACCCATACAGATTCAAATAATATCAGATACAGGCATAAATTACAGCAAATTAAATATATGTTCTCATAGCTCTTTGATAGCAAGTTCCTGACTTGCCACACAGTTAATTCTCACAGAGCTGCAAGTTAAGCACTACTACCTTTTAGCAAAGGACTGTAATTCAGAAAAGTATTAAATCCCAAGTACATTCAACAGAATATTTTCTGACAGCATTATGCTGTTTAAATGTATGCAGTCAAAATCAAACAGAACTTTTTATAATGTGCTGCAAAATCATTCCAGGTAGTACTACCTACTGCAATAAGCTCAGCCGTTTCTCCATTCTAAATGCCAAGGTAAGAAACATAAATAGGTTTTCTTGGAAAATTTTTTGAGAGGAAAAAAGGTTGGGAAGAGGAAGATGGAAAACCAGGTTACAATAACTCTAATTTATATTGCACAACAACATATTACTTTTCAAGATGTCTGATTAATCTTTATATCCTCTTGTGTTTTGGGTACTGGTTTTGAAGCGAGCAATTCTGATAACTCAGGTTCTTTGCAGGAAACCATAATGGCTATTTAAACACAAAAATGTTACCTTAAGAAACATTTGCAAATCAGGGATTTTACAGGGTCGAGGATAAAGCTGTTGGTTCATATGCAAGAAGCTTCTATCTCTACTGACTAATTGCAAACTCTGTAGCACATATTTTTGCAGTTCTCTCCAGATCAGACTAATTTTTCTGTCTCTGAGAGCCAACTTAAAATCAGTAGCAAGATGTCTGCTACCGTCTGATTAACCTGACTTACCTGCTATAGTTAATCTGCTTCAAAACTCAGATCCCAGCATACAAATGTCTGACGTTCATCTCTGTCAGATCTGGCACCCTGGTGGGCAGTCTTCATGATATCAAGAAAAGAACTGAACAAGCTTGGCAATAAAGATACCCTTTTGCATTTGTGGGTGTACGTGCAATGGCTGATCCTCAGAGCGTACGGATGTATTAATAGGTGAAGACAGAACCACCAATTACATCTGGCCTGGGCAAACACAAAAAATCTACTTTCCAGCATTGTCAGCCTGTCACCTTCTATGATCTTTAAACTCATCATTCAAAGAAGAAACTGCGCACAAGGAAAAAAACAATGTTTCCCAAATCTCAGAGGGCATAATTAATAGGAAACAAGCATTTAGTCAATCTAATTTTTTAGGCCTCTTTTATCCATCAAGTTTCCAGAGTCCAGCACTCCCACATTGCTGCTACCTTGCTGACTCCCCTTTCTCTTCTTTCTAGATCAATAACTTTCTGGACATGAAAATTGGGGGTAGAGATGGGGACTGATCAAGTATGAAACTGAAGGCTCGCTCCAACTCTATAGCTCAGGATACAAGTTAAACAGTGCTTCTGTAAAGGGTGAGAGAAAAAGAATCACTGCATTTTTTATAATTCTAACGAGTAACAGCAGCACAGTCTCACTTCTGAGCTTGTCCTTCCAGAATCTGATGTGACTAAAACTTCCACCATTTAAATTTTTTTAGGCCTATGGTAAGCAGCTACATCTCTCAGGAACTGGCTCACCAATGCTTAAGCCTGTTTACTCCTTTCTCGAGGAAAAGTTATAGCACAAGGAGAAAGTAAAATGAATCTTCACTTCTGTGAAGAAAAGCTGTATGAGTAGGTACCTAGTAAAAATCATACAGTGACTGCAAAGAATGGTAAATAATTTTCTTAATAATTTCAAATCAGATATTTTGCCTAACAATAACTATGTATGAAGGTTTCAACTGAATGGAAAAAATGTGAGAACTGGACATGATGGAGAAAGTTGGGAAAGGTGTCCAAATGGGATCCTTTAGCAGACAAGAAGAATGAGATGAAAAGTCTCTGGGGTGGGAATTAAGTCAAAGAGATGAGATGCTAAGATACAGAGGCAAATAGTATACAGAAAATGGAATAGGTAACGCAGATGGAAGAATGTTGCTATGTGTTAAAGAAAACTTCAGCACCGATCATGTAGAAAATAACTGTGTAAACGAACAAGAGAACTGGTATGCATTAAAATTTCAGGCCTCAGTAAAAAAAGCAGTACAAAGACTGTATCTCAGAATACCTGACTAAAATGGAGAAGGTAACATACTGGGGGATATCAGAAGACTGTGAAGGTAGAAATCCCAGCAAATACAGGGGGTTTTCAATTATTCAGCATAGTTTGGTAAATACCATAATGGATGCAATTTCAAGGCTAAATTTTTCAGATATAAAGAAGCTAGTCAGAAGACAGTATATACCTTGATCCTGACTGGTATGAATGATCAGGTTCAAAATGTTACCATACAAAAGACACTTTGTAATATATGTAGATTCACTAGTCCTTCAAGAACAAAGGCAACTCATTTAATACAAAGGCTGTTAAATTTAAGAGCTACTTAAAATGGAAAAGCTATGTGAAAACTAAAAATGGCAGCTAAAAGAATAAAGGTCTGCAGAAGACTTGAAACATTTAAAGACAAGACGTTGCAAGGCTTGGAGCAACAGCATATTGTCTTTCAAAAAGGCTCTAAAAAGACTAGACAATCATAACAGTTAAAAACAAAATAAAAGAGATTATTAAGAATGAGAGGACATACTTAAAAAGCTGATGTGCTAGACAAATGAGAAAGCTACAAAAGAACAAGTCTGACAGGTTAAATGGAAAAACGTGCTAGCTGTGTTAAAAAAACCAAAACCCAACCAAACAAAAAACCAAGGTTCACTGCCTTTGATCTATTATAGCAATGAAATGGTATTTTATCATCCCTTAGCTATCTGGAAAGGGAGCGTGAATTTCTTCCACAATGTAAGAAGGACAGTGACTCTTTAATAATATATTTAGGATACAGTTTAAAAATGGACTTAAGCTGTTCTGTGTGGAAAGAATGGTAAGAATTCCCTTTTTATTGGGGAGGGCACGAAATCTGCTGATCCCACTGGCTGATGTAACAACTGCTCTGAGGAAAGTGACTGACTGAAAGGTAATGTAAGGAAAACTTTGTCCAAAGTTCAAAAAACACTTATGTCAAGGCTTGTGGAACTAGGTTAAAGTTCTTTTTTGGAAATAAAAGTGTGTTGGCTAGAGGTTCAAATGTTGCTGCTGATTGGAAAAACACATGAAAATGAGCTGTAAATTTTTTTCCTTTTCAAAACTGAAGACAGTGACCAGCAAAGGAAGATAATTTAGGCTTGGACTCTTTGTTAAAACTTACCATCAGGAATTTCCAAGCAAGTCTTTAATAAGTCTAAATGACTATGAAATGCTTTAAGAAAGTCTAAACAATTCTCCCATTTTAGTGAGAATACGGTTCCAAAATAACCTAATTACAGTATAGCTGAATATTTAAAAAGAAAAAAAACCCAAATCATATAGCTGAAGAAACTTTTTTGCATTTTTTAAAGCAATTTCTACTATTTGCATATGGCAAATACATATGTATCTTTTTTCTTCAGAATCTAGTAAACTCTTCAGTACAATACTCTTAGGAGTACAGCAGTGTTTAGAAACAATCTATACCCTTCAGAGCAAAATTAGTCTTTGGAGTTAGTAATTACAAGAAAATTTTTTCGGCATCCTTTATTTCCCTTATAATTCAGTTTCTTTTGAATACATCACACTGACTGAATGTACTATAGTTCTAAGGAAGTATAGAGAGTTTTGTAATCTTTTCCAATGAGAGACTCTAGCTCAACTCTTGTTTAAGTTACTTTTACTATTACACGATAAATGAGAAGGAGAATTGTTGAGAATAAGGCTCTCATTGCATTGTCCAAAACTTTAAATTCTAGATGCAGTTAATGGCAAGCTGACTTCTAAAGTGTGACTGTTTTCCCAAATTGGAGAGATCAGTTGTCTTGCTTCACACTCAAGAAAATTAGCTTGAGAAGTTATGAGCCAAATAGTCTAGCACAAAAGAGGATTATTCTTTTCTTGCAGACTGTGACACGGTGGAGAATGGTGTGGGCACAAAAAAAGTGCTATGAACAGTCTATTTCTGGAAAATTCAAATGTGAAGCAACTGGATATAAAGAACTGTTCAGCACAAGAACTAACAAATCTGTAATTTAACAAGTTTTGTTACGCAGACTTGCACCGTTGGAGAACTGACTGCATGAGCTCTTTGATCTCTGGAATTGTCTCAGTCCAGCCTTGCAAGATGCTCTCAGTGAAAGTGCAAGAGAAATGCATCTGTCATCCACTAGGCAAGTACTCGAACAAGTAATTCCGTGAGCAGCAGTGCTAATGAAGACAAGTTTCAGATGTATTTGAACGTTCATTCCTTTGTGGATTCTCCAAAGTCTAACATGGTGGTTGGCTCATACTGCAAAGACCTACCCTCAGAGACCTCAACCAAATTTGGGCAAAGAATACACAAGGTTAAAGGAGGGTTGAAAGAGAATGGTTTTATCTGTTAGATATTTTGGGGAATCACTTGCTGCAGTTTAAAAATCCCTTCCTCCAAAAAGGTTTCTGATAACCACAAAAAAAAAAAAAAAAAAAAAAAAAGAATTTCTTTGTAATAGGGAGTCCTTGTTTACCTGATAAACTATTCACAATTCTGGGAACAATTCATTACTGAATATTTTCCCTGTATTAAAGTCCTTGCATCTAGAATCACCTTCCTCTCTGCTCTTTCTCCACAAGACATCCTGCAATAGGAAACAATTCATTTTTGTAGTGACAGAATACAGACAGACTTTAGAAGACAGTGATAGGTCAATCCACACTATCCATTTGCTCGATCTACTTGTTTGAAATAATTCATCTGCATCTTAAATAAAACTTCCTGAGCAACAAGAGGAGAAAATGTTCGCTTACCTATATAGACTGGCCTATTTTTTGGATTGCCTTTCATTTTAAGCTTCCTTTGGGTAGGACACAAAATAAAAAAAGCATTTCAGCAGAATACTTCTCAGTTTGGAGCCCTGTAGGCCATCTTCTGCAGCCCTTTATTATTCAGGAGCCCTCTCTATTTCAGTAAGGTTCCTATCTGAGTAATACATATTTTGTCGGCATTTCCTGAGTCAGTAAGAGAACTGAAAGATAAGGGAAGCATTTTTGTTCATTTTGCTTTCCATTCTAAAGGAGTTTATAAGTTATCTGGAGTTCACTTGAATAAGAACAGGACTCTGATTCACTGGAATAAAATATGTCATTGAAATACAAAAAAGTTTCAGGACATAAGATTTGAAAGGCTGAAGGCCTCTAAAATTTTTCTACAGCAGAAGTCCAGCTAGTTATGTGGAACTCAAAACAGCAGCTTCGGTAGTATTCTTTGGAGGGCAGGAAGGAATATCCTACTTTTGCAAGGACCTGGAAACAGCTATGAAGAGCACAATTTATATACATAAACAACCACAAAGCTGTTTTAAATTCTCAAGACCTTTCACAGGGTGGGCCTTATTGGGATGGGATATAGTGGCTGAGAAACTGAAACAAAATTACAAAAACTGTCTGCAGAACAGCTTGCAAAGGATCTGTCAAAATACCGAGCTTCATCAAGAGAACTCTTTTGACTGTGGTTTCAGTTTTGATGCATTACTGTAATAAAAGCTACTGTCATCACAAGTGTAACACAATGCTTCTCAGTGACTCCAGAGCAGGACAGACCAGAACACTCGAAAAAGATTTCTGTGAAATACAGAGATCAGAGTTTGTAACTCAAAGGCAATGGACAAGGCCAAAGGGTACAGCATTCTTCTTATGAGTATTTTGCTTGACACTTGCTCATGATTTATTTGATGATAATTATTAATTTTCAAGGGCTTGATCTCTTTGAAATAGAAAAGCTGTACAGACAAAAAGTTATCTGAATGCAAGGACCTGGATGTGAAAGGATGTCTTCATTTCATTATGCTACCATTTTTAGCCAGGCTTCCAAGTACGTGGTAAAAAATTTGCTAAGAATAGTAATAAGCTGTTACTTTGACATTTGTGCACAGAATTGCCTTTTAAAAAAGTATGTCATCATTCAAAACTGAACACACCAACTAAAACAAAGCCATATACATATCATTTCCCAACCTGCATAGGGTTGATCTGCACGGAACGTTCAAAGCACTCCACACATTCCCTGAATTCCCGGTTGCGGAGATGGAGGAGGCCTTTGGAGCGCTGGGCACGGGCGCTGCGGTGCCTGGAGAGCTCCCAGGCCTTGTCATAGTACTGGTGGTCTTTAAGAACATCACCAAGCAAACAATATAATCCTGGTGTTTCCTTTTTCTCTAGCTCCCGCCTGAGTATTTCTTCTGCCTGTTAAAGAACAAAAATAAATCAATACATAATGGGACAATTTATTCTCAGTTAATCGCCTACCTGAACAAATACCACTTTAGCACCTTGAAATCATCAGTTGAAGGCTAAGAAGTAGGGATAGTAAGGAAACAGTATCTTGATCCAACACAGCATCAAAGATAAAAGTCTAGAGAGAATCTGGTTCCAAACTGTTTTTAAAAAAACACACTTCAACATCAACATGATATGGTGGCTTCTAGTTTAATGCACCAAGAGAAATGTACCCATTAAAACAAGAAGCAGCTTGCTCCTCATTTTGTATCTGAGGTGTGTGTTCTGTCCCATGAGCAAATATCACTCCTGGATGTCAAATCTATACCTACACCTCATAGCAATGCAGTGTCAGCACCATTAAGGTATGTGCAATCCTAACAGTTTATAATCTTTGTTTTTTATAAATCCTAATAAGTACTCTTGCAATGACTGTCATTCCTTTTTCTCTAGTTGCTCTTTTCTGAAAATAGTTCTTTCCATTCTATTATGTCTGACATCCACTTTCACACTGTTGGTTTTGGAAATGCTACTCTTACATAAGATGCAGAAGTTACAAATTTATCTAAATGTTTGAGATAAAATATATTCAGAATGTATACAGCATTATGGAAAAGAAGACACAAGCTGGGTCTCCCAGACATGTATTACGGGCTGTAACCAACTTTAAAAAGCTCTTTATCTCAGGGTCACTATCTCGATCTAACAACAAAATTATTGTTCCTCTTTTAAACAAGAGATAGTCTGCTTTCTGTGGCTTTTTGAAAAGATAAACACACTGGACAGATGATCTGTTGTTCAGACTGAACTCTTACCTCAGTCCCCTGCTGCAAAAATGTAACATGCATAATTCAGCTCAGTATAATTTTTCTATTAGAAAATATCTATTTGAAGCATCAGAACCAAGAAAGATTTGACGTAGCCTGCCACAGAACTAAAGTTTGACGTGCAACAGTAGTCATTCTTCTATCATAGCTAATTTATCTAAAAAGAAAGCTGAATTCCTCTGTGCATTTAAATTATTACTGCTTTTCTTGTTTAAGAACTGTTTTCTTTGCCCTTCAGATGATTTCTAGAGAATCAGTCGCTTCCTCCTCTTCTTCCAATCAGTAATTCATCCTGTCTGACAATCATCTTTAGAAAAATGACTGTTTTACTTTGTTTTGAAATATTTAATGTACAGTAATTTTAACACTTCATTCTTACTATTGTTTTTTAAAATAAAGTAGCAGTAAAAGTCTACAAATATTTGAAGTGCACAAACGCGAAGAACAGATGTATTGTTTAGATTTCTAAAGGGATCTTAAATGAACAAAAATGGAATCCCATTAAGAAGAAAATTAGTGGCTGAATATTAGGAAAATAACTTAACAGCAAGTGTTTTTAAGTGCCTATAAAACAGTTCTCTAAAGAAAGCCAAAGAAACTACTACTTAAAATTTAGAATTAGCCGAGTCAAAGCACTAGAAAACCTCTTGTAACAAGAAGACTGTACTTGCAGAGGGTTTGGTTAAAGGGCAGTTTACTTCCCCTTCCCTGCCTCCATTATGACAAGATTAAAGGAACACATATTAATAATAGATCTTTAAGATTGTTTTTTTCTAGAGCAGAGAGAACTGGGTGCTTTATTATTGCAGTAATCACATTAGGCACCAAAAGAAAAGGTGATTTCCCCCTTCAGATAAAGAAAAAAGACTGAAGTGTTGCTGCATGAACAGCAGCTATGAGGTGAAAAGTGCATTCATGCTGCTTCTTTACCTCTTCCTCTGCAGGGCACTCCCAAGCTCAGATTGCTATCCTGTGGCAGTGCCTAGGACTAACCATACACTAGACTAGAAAGCCAACCATTTACTAATGGCATTTCACATTTAAAAGCATAAAACCATCATGTTCTGGTCTATGCTTACAAGAATTCACTGCCAACATAAATATTTCAGCACACAGATAAAACAGAGAATTAAATAAGCAGAAGTCTGACTTTTTCTTCATCTGATTAGCTATCTGATCACCCCTCTGGCATGTTACCAACCTTTTTATTCCTTTAATCTTTAAAGGGTAATACAAAGGGGATCATAACTACAAACTAAAAAAAAAAATTGTATTATCAAAACATTTGTCATTTGTCTTCTATAAAACCAGATAATGCTTTAAAACAGGCTTTCTCATTTTGCCTAGGTTTTTGTGAAGAAAAATATTGCTTTCTCCTAACTTTGTAGTAAACTATTTTCAAAAATGCACATTTCATCTTTGATAAGAGCCCTGCTTCTGCAAAAAGCAAATCTTCTCTTAACAACAAAAAAAATTATCAAGAAACATTTTCCACACTGCTCACACAATGTACATAAAAGAAATATAACCACTAGAGATTTATTCTTGCCCATTAAACAGATATTAATGATTAATCTGCATACTTTATAACTAAAAATTATATCTAAATTAAATACGCTTTGATAAGAAAATTATCAATTAAAAGTCACCTAAAAAGAAAAAAATTAGGCTGTCTAACCTTTGCTGACTGAAACAGATTTAATTACATCACTGCTTTTCACAGAATGGTCTGCACCAGAATGGATGGAATTCAATAATCAGTTCAAAAGTCAGTTGATCTAAACATGAGAAAGATTTAGGCTGTTATCTTGCTTTCTGGACTACTACAGTTGGTATGGGAATTAAGCAGGCAATGCTTCACAAAAATCCACAACCAGTAAAGGGGGTTCTGTTTTAAATAAAAGGTGATGCCTTTTTATTACTAGCTACAGAGACTCCTGGAAACCAAGTTCAAGATTCATCCTGCATTTGGCTTCCCAACCCTAAACTTCCACTTGCCATCCCAGCCATACACTCCCTTGCTTGTATTTTATTTATTTCCTAAAAGACCCTATTAGCCTCACTCTTCACAGATCTACCAGTTCTATTATTTGACAATTCATTCCTTTGCTAGTTCCAAGTATTTCCTAAAATGCTTTCATCTTTTCTGCTTGCATGTTATTTGCTAGGCTACCAGAGAATAGCATGAAGAAGCAGAACAGATGAGCATGGAAAGAGGTAGTGAGAGAAAAGGAGAGCTCTTCGGTTTTCATTTCCCTGTAACTTCATGCATGACCTTGGGCAAGCCATTTATTCCTCCTTCTCAATTTTGTAGCTACATATAGGAGTGCTTACCTGCCTTCTACATCTGTTATGATATGTAGTGGAAATCAATCAAGTTCTTGAATGACCTCATGCACTAATCAGTATAGTACTACTTGACTTTGCATCTGGGAAGCATTTCCTGAATTTAAAGGTGAGCTTCTGAGATCTTACCATAATTGTGTTTCCTCGCTCAAATGTTTTGGGGATATCTGTGTCATGTCATGACATGAAAAATAACTCTGTAGAATGTGGATTGCTGGATATGTTGGTCTAAAACCAGACTGTGTACCATGCTGTTTACTCTGAGATGATGGAACATGGATAGGGCTGAAAACTGCGTTGTAAGATGGAATACCAGGCTGATACAAAAAGGTTGATCTTATGAATTTATCCAAGGTCAGCAGCTACCATGTTCTAGAGCTCCTGCAAGGGAGAAAGGCCTCACTTCAATTGAAAGAACTGAAAATTTAGAGTTTATCCTTTCTTTTTTCTTTAGCGGGGAAATAGAACCATTTTTAGTGTATTATCCATTTCTGGTGAGGTTGAAGAGACCTCTTACACCTTAACCAAATAAAGTTGTCCAATGTAAATAATACTCTTGAGATCTCTGGATCTGCCTCACAGTTAAAAGAAGGGAGAGGGACAGTTTTCAACACCAGTTCTCACTACACACACAGAGATTAGTGTCTGCTTTTGCAACAAGTCTGTTAGAGGAATATGACGAGTGTAAGACTGGAATGAGAAAGCCACAGCAACTACCAACATACTGTGCATTCGTATTTTATAATACTTTTTTTTTTCATTCTGTGCCCTGTTTTGCTCATTGCTTGGCACTCTCTGTTGCTCTTGTGTTGATTCATGTTATGATACCAGTTTCTACTAATTTTGTTCAGATTATGAAACAAGTGAGTATAGAGCCGTATCTAGTAGCAGTAAAAGATCCACAAAGAAGTTTGCTAAATGTCAGTGACAAGTTACTCGGCAGAATTTGTGCTGCTACATGGCCCTGTTTTAACTGAGTGAATTATGTATTTCCCAAGTGCATAATGTGGAGCTTTGCATAGCCTTATCTACATGCTCTGTTTCTTTGTCAGTAAATAATTCAAAAGTAGGAGGAAGGAACATATTACTTTGATCCATAAGCATTCATCAAATGCATTGATATTGCTGATATCTGGCTGTTTTATCAGATTTTTCAGTACTTACATTCAGGTTTTCTATACAAAAGCATTTGTGAGTGAAAAACATGCAGAAGTTTATTTAATAGAGTTCGTTCTTTTGGGCACATATATGCTAAGTTCTTCAATGACATGAACATCCACTGAACAATATATTGCTCTAGTAGATTCTCATGCATTGCTAAAAGAATAACGACCATGTTTAAAAACATAAAAACGTTTTTGATAGATACAAACAGTTCATGCTCTGAAAGCTTTCTGATAAGGAGCACAAATAGTCACTCCCCTTGGTGTACAGCTAAATGTTTCCAATTTTCTGGCTTTTTTGATCTGAAGCTAGCTTTTTTCCCCAGCACTACTGTTACTTAGTACTTACATAGCGTTTTCTGTTTTTCAAAACACAGCACAAACCCTCATTCTGAAAGCATTTCCAAGCAGTTTCCTGTGTCAGATATCCTGTCCTATTCTCCGAGTGCCATTTTCATAACTCCCTAAGGGCAGTTTATGAATGTAAGTAGGACAGAATGCATTTCCAGGAAATGGAAAATATTGACCTCTATTTCTCCACTGTACTGAAAAGATTGGTATATTAGCATACTATCCACAAGGCATGCATAATGTGACACAGAATTTGCCAGGAAAACATATCTGTCAGTTTATAATGACCAAAATCTAGGCAGTGGTACACGATAATTAGAGAAAGTATATAAGTATAAGAAATTCTGCATTTTTTTCTATTAACTGAAGTTAAAACTCTCTATTTTGTAAGCTTAAATCAGTTTAAGCATAGTCTTTGTGATTTTTGTCTTCATAAAGGCACATCTACATTCATATATTTAATGCCACCATATACCAAACAGAGGAAGAGAACAGGGAAGAAACAAAAAAACATATTTTTGTCTGAAAGTGAATATTTCTGAAAACTGTATAAATTCTGAAAACAATGCTTGATCACATGAGTTCCTGTTACAGCCTTTATGTGTGAGAGATTGCACCAGAAAGAGGACACAGCTAAAGCTACACACAAGTAGGCATTGCTGCCAGGTATCATTTTCTAAAATCTTCCTACCATTGCTCTCATAGTAACAGGAAAACAATCAACAATAGGAGGGCTGCTGCAGCCTGCTGCCAGCTTTTTAAACAATTCTGTCACTGACACATAGAGTTAGGTGACAGCTTTAAATTGTCTTTTTCTGGAGCCGATCAGACGTAGCTGCAGCAATGTTAAAGAAATGATGAAATTCAGGAAAACATCAACATAGACTTAACAAAATAAAGCCTTTTAATCTCATGCCACTTCTTGTCTCAAATTCTGTAATTTGAATATGTTAACATTAGGTAATTAAATACATCAGGCACTGATGTTGTTCTATTTAAAGTGTTTTTAAAAACTACAGTTAATAGTTTGAAATCAAGTAGGAAAGAAAACTAATATCCCCTCCAGACAAAGCTCCAAGACCCCATCATGAATGACTGCTACAGCCTTCCTGAAATGCCCACATTACACCTTGCTGTGCATCCACAGTTGTTAATTTTCCTTGAATATTTTCAAGAATCACTATCACAGTCTTCTCGCTTCCCAAGTTATTTCTCATTTACCAACTTCTATTTCATGTGGTCACTACCCCAAATCTTTTTTTTTTTTTTTTTTTAGCATTCACAGGTTATGACAGACTCATATGTTGTGTCCATTTTTCCTAAACAGACTTTCCTCATGATACCCCTGCAGAAGTGAGTGTCATTAGTGAACTGACAGCTCAAGCCAGACAGTCTTTCATACTTCAGATCCTATTTCAGAACAGGACCTCAGCTGTAAAAACCGTTTTTCTTACCTTTCCATGCTGTCCTGCTCTTTCATAGCAGATGACTGCATCTTCCCACATTTCCAGCTCCTCATATATCTGTAAGGCAGAGCTGGTGCACCCCAGCTCAAAGAGTAAGCTTGCAAGCTGACGCTGGAAATATAAGAAATTCCAGGTAACTGAAAATAGGTAAGTAAATACTATTTACATTTTTAAAAGATGTTAGAGGCACTTCTGACATCAACAAAAAGCAGACGGAGAACATGGAATTATTCTCTTGAAACTTCAAGCTGAAGCCTCAAACAATATATATACCTCAGAAAGACCTATCAATAGAACAACAATTGTTTTGATTTGACTTTTGTTCATGTCAGTAGCTTAATTACTTTGAACTAGTTTATAATACAATGCAAAAATGAAAACAGACATGGCAAGGATGAGTCGACAGAGCTGAACTTCCACCCATTAAATGAGGTGCACGGCCCATGCGGCTGGAGAGCAGCTGCAGCAGGATGTTGGGAATGCTAAGACTAGGAAACAGAGGCTGAAGGAGGGCACTGAAGCCTCTTCTAGCAATAGTAATCTGTACCTGTGCAAACACAGATGGAGAGAAAGGCTCTGGTACAATTTTGTTAGGTACTTGTGAGAAATCACTGTCCCAAACAGCCACTGCCAAAGGGTGTTAGTTTTTAGTCAAATCAATATTGGATTTGAGTTCAGGTTCAACTCCCCAGTTGACTTTTCCTCTCAGATAAGTCAGCCTCTTTGTTATTTCAAATTCAGCTATTATTTCAGTGTACTTATGAAAATAAATGAGTAATCTTTTCAATTTAAAAATAAACAAGGTATGTTTTCATGACATGGAAAAATTGTCTTTTGGTCTTTGGTTTATTTTTTAAGAGGAGATTAAAATCACGTATAGGTTTTCATCTTTGAAGAAAGGATAACTTATTTACTACACGTGACAGGTATACAATTTGGTTTGCAAAAACAAATGGGAGCATTCTGTATAAGGACACCTAATTATGCTATGAGATCCCATACAGTGAACTTCTGCAGTGGTTTCGGTGGTCCTGAATGGATTCCCTGAAGTCCTCTGCAGATGTCATGAACCTCTCTTTATACGCTTGGGTTCAGTATCTGTTACAAATCCAAGGAGTCACCATAGGGGAGTAGACTGGTAGTAAAAAAATTAAGAACTGGCTACAGTTCTTTGACATAAATAAATAACAAACTGAAAATCTGTAACAAAGTAATTATTTGTTAGCTTGGTATCAATCGCTTAGGAAAAAACCTGCATTTGCTAGTGTCTGGAACTAAATCTTATTCATGTTTTATTAAATCTACTCAGAGTCAAATTTGGTAAAATTTATACAGAAAATGCCTCTTCATTACTATGACTAGGAGACTGCAGCCATCTTCCATTATAAATGCCTATTTTAGTACTTCTATCTTTGGCCTGGAAAATTGGCTTAGATTGAAAAGTGCCACTCTGACAACTGGGAATGAAAACCACATTTGCTAGTTTTATTGCAAGTGCCTGTTGAAAGGTTGTGTGGAATAATTTGAGAATGCTAGGAGAAGATACGATTGGTTAAAGCAACATGCACTGAGGTTAGAAATGAAAAAGGAATAAAATACCATTAAAAGTAAACAACATGAACACCTTTGGAGGTATGTGATGCAAACAGTTTTGTTAGGTTTTTTACATACAGCATCATCAGATAAGAGTCTAATGCATAGATTTCTCTTCTAGAAGGAGTTTATTATGAAGATAAACAGTGTAGTTTTGGAAAAAAAAATCCTGTCAGCAATAGTAAAAAGGGGCATGTCTCGAAAATAAAAATGTTCTCAGCTTGAGGAGTTCTTCAGTGTACTTTTGACTCCTAATTTGGCTGCTGTGACCATGACCCACTTCCTGAAAACAACCCAAAGTGAGTGATTGTTAAAAGATGAGAAGGATGCAAGTAATAGTAGCATAAGTAGAACAGTTATAAATGGTAAGACAGTGGCAAGATTATTTTTACAGAATATATGTTAGAAGCTTGAAAGTTTTGGTCTGTTTTTTACTGAAGGAAAAAAGAAAGTAAAGAAGAATTACACTACAAGCAATTACTTCTGTGCATGACAGAACAAGACATCTGAAAGCAAAACACTGTAGAACTTGATTTTTTTCCAGAAAAGCCTGGTGTGTTTTTAGGTTACGTCTTTATTTCTACAGTGCTTCAATTCAAGATCGTATCTCACACTCTTAACTTTGGAGTCATGCAGTCTCAAAAATAAGAACCACAGGCTTTTAAGTAAAGCTTCAAATGCGATTGCTTCACACCTGTATGGCCCAATGGGGAGGCACCTGACAACAGTAGAAAATCTTCATGCGTTCAGATACCGATGTATTTGCATTTTCAAATTGGTCTGCAAGTGCCTGTAAATGCAAAGTACATCCTGATTTAGTATTTACTTAGACGTAATCAACCTAAAAAAAAAAATTCAAAGCATTCAGGATTTTAGGCATTCTTGACATAATGGAGAAATTATATTAAAGATAACACTTTTGACACCGTCTCCCACAGCATTCTCCTGGAGAAACTGGCTGCTCATGGCTTGGATGGGTGTACTCTTCGCTGGGTAAAAAGCTGGCTGGATGGCTGGGCCCAAAGAGTTGTGGTGAATAGAGTTAAATCCAGTTGGCAGCCGGTCACAAGTGGTGTTCCCCAGGGCTCAGTATTGGGGCCGGTTCTGTTTAATATCTTTATCAATGATCTGGATGAGGGGATTGAGTGCACCCTCCGTAAGTCTGCAGATGACACCAAGTTGGGTGGGAGTGTTGATCTGCTGGAGGGTAGAAAGGCTCTACAGCGGGACCTGGACAGGCTGGACCTATGAGCTGGGGCCAACTGTATGAAGTTCAACAAGACCAAGTGCCGGGTCCTGCACTTGGGTCACAACAACCCCATGCAACGCTACAGGCTTGGGGAAGAGTGGCTGCAAAGCTGTCCAGCAGAAAAGGACCTGGGGGTTGTGGTTTAACCCTAGTTGGCAACTAAACACCACACAGCTGCTCATTCACCCTCCCCCCTACTCCCCACAGTGGGATGGGAGAAACAATAAAAAAAAAAAAGTAAAACCCTCGGATTGAGATAAAGGCAGTTTAATAGGACAGCAGAGGAAGAGAAAGTAGTAGTAGTAGTAGTAATAATAATATACAAAGCAAGTGGTGCAGAATGCTATTGCTCACCACCTGCTGACCGACACCCAG